AATAGACAAAGCATAATGCCGAAGCAAGCCACTTCAAGCATACGCTGTAGTCTCATTTTAAGTGTTTTTAGCTGTTAAGAGTGATGCTGAGAATTTATAATACGTGTATGTATGTAATTATGAGTATTTAAGGGCCTTAAGCAGTGCCTGGCTAAGAATAAATATACTAATATATTATTGTAAATGTTATATAATTGTTTTGTGGTTAATAAAAGTGTGCAATTAACGGGCGAGAAATTGAAAATGAATTTTTTTTGTTTTAGACTTTTAATTAAATTAATKTAAATTTTTCAGTGCTACATATTGTGTAATAGTTTTGAGCACGAAATATAGTTTTTCGCTTACTTCAATTTTAAATTTAAAATTTTTTTTTTAATTCATATTATTTTTATACCCATAGCTATATTTTCAAAGGGCAGTTAGTGCGGTGGAAAATGCATAAATAAATTCAATTTTGATTCCGCTTAAGTTTGGCGGCAGCATTTGGACGTCACGGCGGCTCTTTGGCTGTGAGAAATTCGATACATTTTGATTGAAAATCGCCAAAAATTGGCTTTGGACACGTTCGCTTGGTATTGTCAGTCTGTTGTGTGTGATTTGTATGAATAATTTAGTGAATAAATACAAAAGAAATAAAGTTAGATACAAACACCCATGAATAATTCGGCAATACTCTTAGACACGAAATTTTCCACAGAATTTATTGTTGGGTGGGGCAAAAACAAGTCTATCGGAATTTATTGTGAGAAATAAAATAAAATTCAAAATACAAATAAACGATTTAAAGCATTAATTATTTTTTGGGTTGACAACATTGCTCAACATATCTTATTATTTTTGGGTTAAAGGGTTATATCCAGTTGTGAACGTAAAACAAAAATCGAATGAACATATATACTGTGCCATCTCCCATAAGTGGACACTTGCGGGACCAGGCTGTCTTTCTCTGCGGTTAATAGAGGTTGTTAATAGACAGTTAATAGATTGCCCKTAATAAACATCAAAAAATATTTTAGACATGGTAACGGGTGAACCAAGTAGAGTTACCTTTTTCAATAATTAATATTAAACAGAGATGTTCGCTTAATAACAGRTGAATTGAAAAGTCCATATTAAATCACATTATTTCAATCGATGAAAATTTCTTCMATGCGAGCATTTTTTTGTTATCTGAGAACAGAAAATATACGCTAGGGTCAAATGTGGAGCATATCGTAGATTCGGAAGCAGGTGGTCTATGACTTGTGATACGGTGCATTGTCAGGATGAATAACGTTTTGGCATAGGCGCTGTTACCTTTTCAAGGTAGCAACTAAAAATTATTTCCCTTGTATCCAAAAATACAGACGTCATAACCTTGCCAGCAGACTGTTGCATTTTTCCACGTTTTGGAGCGGGTTCATCATGTGCAATCCACTGGGCTGACTGTCAATTGGACTCCGGCAGCTCTGAAATTTATACACGACCTTTTTGAAGGTTGAGGTTAACTGAAAATTATATTGATTCAATTTTAGTACCGCCATACATATGTACATGTCAGACTATGAAGTTTTCAATTGACCTGTTAGAGCGTCAGTTTAATAGAGCTTTTACTGCATTTGAAAATGTTCTCCGAACTTTGGAAATTCATACGGCAAATACTAGTAATTTCGGTGTTGTGAGTGCATTTAAAAGAATTTTCTAATTTAGTATAAATGGCTCCCAAAAGGTGAGGAAAATTTGTTCGAAACGGAATTACCGTACGACTTTGATAATAATTTCGATGGGGAAGCCTCACTAAAACCCAGTAGAATAAAAACTACCATAAAAAATTTCCCTAAAATGTTTTGTTCCCTTACACTAAAATATTTTCCTAAAATCTTTGGTTTATTAAAAATATTTCTAATAAATAATTTCCCTTACAATAAA